CAACACATTTATATAGCCCCCTTCACAGGGTAGCATCCGACAACACTTGAATGCACTATGCCATAGGTCATTCACTTCATCTTACATCTCATGACAATAAACGTTTCCTAATCTCCTAAAGAGTACATATGTAATGTTTTCAGAACAGATTTAAGGAAAAAAAGTATGAGACAAAATGCACCTTATTTTGCCACAGTTACAAGCAGATGTAGCAGAACTTTTGGGGAAATGGTTTCATGCTGTACTAAAGCAAAGAAACATCCTTTATTTCATGACTGTGAGGTACATGTGGAACTAGAGGTAATCTGGGGTTGATTAGGAAATTGCATAGACAGTTTAAGCCCAGTTGTCACGTGCCCCAAAATCAAGAAGCCCAATCTATCCCCCATATATACACACACACACACAATTTCCTATGTTGTTTTTGAAATACAGCCTGCTTTTTCCTAATTGTAAGTGTCAAAACAAAAAGTGAGAATCAACAATAGATAAAAGTGGAGCATCCTTAGAATCCTAGGATGTTAAAGGTGTGGAAACAGGGAAAAGCAGAAAATCAGACAAGTGGTATGAGTTGACACACACTTCTGAAATTACATTTTAGAATATTTAGCATGAGAACAACGTAGTGGCGGAAAGAGAAGGAAAATGTAGGCTAAAAAAATAGGCACTTTGTAAACTGCAATAGTGTCTCAAACATTAAAGGCTGATTTAAAGTTCTTCCCTCCCAAGCAAAATTGACAAGTCATTTTCACCAAGATCCGTGTCCTCTTTACAAGTGGTGTTATTATAATAAATATCATGAAATAATTTGTAAAAGTGTGTTTGGCGATGGGTAGCAGGTAGACAGACTTCAGAAAACCAGCTTACCTAAGTGAGCAGAAATGGTCCCAAATCAAATTGCTCACACACCCTATCAGACCAAGTTTATTCACTCAATCATGATTAATATCGCAAGTTTTGTATACAACAACAATAAATTACATTTATATAGCAACTTTCATGTTGGGAAGATGTCTCAAGACGCTGGAGAGTGAAGGATTTACACCCGATCTGCGGATTTGAGTTAAGAGGGGTGGAGGACAAGGGTGAGTGGTGGGAAGATGACTGAAGGCAAGGTCAAAGGGGAAAATCTTGAGATGGGCCTTGAAGGAGTCAAGGAGGGGGTGAGGCAGAGGGGTTCAGGGATGGAGTTCCATAGGGTGGGGGCTGAAGGCGTGGGTCATTGAACAGTGCAGTGACCTGAGGGTGTGGACAGGTTGGTAATATTTTAGTAGGTCGCACAGAGAGGGAGAAGCAAGACCGTAAAGAGGTGGAGACAAAAAATTGTCTCATTTGCTAATTTTCTTATTTACTCTGTCCGGTTCTACAATCAGAATTATATCAAATAACCAGATTATTTCTACATTATTTATGCCTTTTGACATTTTAGTGACCCGAATCATGCTCCCTGTCAATCAATGTTTCTCCAGTAAATAGAAATGTTATTCTTTAAGCCTCCACTTACAACTTAAACTTTAAGTCGCATAATTGTTTTCTTCTCTCAGCTCTCTTCAATGTATGTTTTGACAGTGTGATGCCCTGAATTGCACACACTATTCCGAGTATGGTGTTACCAATGAATTAAAAAATAACTAAATACCTTATTTTGACTTATAATTAACTCCTCTTGTGATACACCCTATTATTTCTTAGCTGTGTTGAATAGACACATTTTCAGGGATACTTTCAACAAATGAACAAATCACATGAAATATTTTCTTTATTTAAACTTTTGCCGATGGATTTCCTGCCTGATATTCATATAGCGCCCTTCACATGGGGTAGCGTCCTGGAGCGCTTCATAATAGCTGAGTCTGACAATGAGCCATGGGGAGAGGGAGGTGATCCTAAGCACGATCAAAAAGGTCTTAAGGCGGGATTTGAAGGTGGGGAGGAAAGGGGCAAAGGGGAAGGATTGAGGGAGAGAGTTCCAGAGTTTTGGGCTATATTGGCTGAAGGTATGGCACGAGGGACAAAGAGGAGGCAGGAGCCAACCAAGCGGAGGCAAAGGGTGGGGGAGTGGGGGGGTAATCATTGGCTGAGATGACCTGGGGAGAGGTAGGGAGGGGCAAGGGCATGAAGTGGTTTGAAAACGAGTGAGAGGATCTTGAAATCGATCCGTCTGGTGACTGGTTCGGTCGAGTTCTGTAGCTCAGTAGTTAGAGCACTCACCTCGCAAGTGAGAGACCGGGGTTTGATTCCCGGCGGGGCTAAATGTTGGGCAAGTTTCTTTACTCCACATGCCTCTGTTTACCTGGCAGTAAGTAGGAACCCGGTTGTTAGTTGCTGTTAAGCGACTGGATCGCTTTTCCGGGGGTAATAATTCCTTCAAAAAAAATTAATAATAAATTACTAAGTCACTTCAATCCACAAAGCAGTCCTGGTCAGAGAATAGATGTGGGCTAGAAAGAAAAGCTGGGGATCGAACCTGACGCCTAAGGTTTGGAAAGTCTGAGGGAGAGCCCGGGCAGATTGAAGAGTTCAGACCCGCAGGAGAGAAGGCATTGACGAGAGGCAAAGAGTATGGGTTCCGTCTTGCCGACATACAGCTGCACGAAACTTGCGCTCATCCAGACCTTGATGTCCGACAAACAAGCTGACAGGACATTAGTGGGCTGGGAGTCACAGCTGGAGAAGAAGTAGTTTTGGGTGTCATCAGCATACATGTGGAAGTAGACCCCATGTCTGTGGATGACAATGCCGAAAGGGGGCACGTAGATGAGGAAGAGGGCCAAGGATGGAGCCTTGGGTGACCAGGTGGGGGCGAGAGGAAAAAACATTGGCCGAGATGAAGTGCTGGTGGTTAGTTAAGTAGGACTTGAACTATGCGAGTGCGCTTCCACTAAGGTGGATGAAGGAGGAGAAACCAAACTGCACACCATGGTCTCAGCAGCAAATTTTACGAAACATCACTGGCAATTGTCTCTGACCAGAATCATGGCAAGCACTGCGCTCATTCAACAGTGAACGTGACACTAAATATAAACACGGGCCGACTCTTCCTGGTCAGGATGTGAAACGCTAGGATTTACCACATTCCCTATGTGAAGTGGACCAGCTAATCTTCAATGTTGAGTTTACCATTGGTTTCAACGTTGAGCAGTAAAGTCAGTTACACAGCCAATGAATGTACAACAGGAGTTAAAAGGAAGTTCAATGAAAACTGCTTAAGGCAATAATAATTAAAAAAAAGATAACATGGGTAGAAGGTAGAAAAAAGTAAAAAAGATAATTTTAAAATTGAAAATAATAGAGGCAATCAATCCAAAAAGAACAGAAGAAAAACAAGCTGTAACAACAACTTGCACTTATAAAGTGCCCCTCACATAGTATAGCGACCCAGAGTGCAAAAACAAGCAGCAGTTAGCATCGGTAAAGATTTAAATAGGCTTTAAAAAATGTCTTACTTATTTTAATAGGTTAATATTAAGAGGATGGCAATACGTCCAATTTATTATTTATTAATAAGAAATTTTGGGTCTTTCAAGAGCTGAAAATGTACAGAATTAATTGCCTCACCAAGACAGCACTCGTTGGCAGTCTAGCAGATAATATTCACTCTCTTTTTTCCTGTTGTTTTGTAAGCATTTTAAAACAACTATAATGTAGTGAACAAGAGTCATGCTGCAGTCTTTGTGTATACACTGCACTTCACAGTAAAATCCTCTGAAGTGCTTTGAGACATTATGAAAACATGGTATAAGGCGCTATGTCAAATGCGAGGAATTAATAAGTTTACAGATGTAATGATTTGTAGATAAGAATAATCAATCTACTTTGTGTTAAAATAAATATTTCACCCACAAAATATACAGTCAATTCACTTTACCGTATATTCTGTGAAGCGCTTTGAAACGTCTCGAAGACGTGCTAAGGCATTGTATCAAATGCAAGGATTATTATCATTATAAATGTTCAGGTTCTAAAGATCAGAGCTGTGGTTTGATTTTTTACTTTAGTTGGTAACAAGCTTATTTATGTATCATCATCATCAAAGGGTAAATTAAATTTTTAAACTCAATCTGCAAGAAAACTAAATATGTTGATTCAAGAAAGTTGTGTAGGACTGACTGTAACATTGATTTCTGTGGATTTGTGAGTCTGGCTTTTTAGGTAACTAAGCTCTTACAGTCCTACAAAGTACTGTATACATTTCCATAAAAATAGTTATGATTAGACGACACCATGTAAATACTCAATTAATGTGGACGAGTATGTGATAGGCATAGTACGCCTGTTTGATATCTAAATATTTTCATCGCAAACCTAGAAGTCTTACTTAAATCTTGCTCAACATCAGCCACAAATAATCAGCAAAGTGAAGTTCTTATAATGTACAATTTACTTTTTTAATTCAATACGAAACTTTTAGTTTCTGCACACAATTCACTTGATTTTCTCCTTGAATATTTAGGAATTGCAAAGGTCCTGGCATGCAATTAGAAACAAATCAAAGTCTGCTTCGTTCCTCAGAATTTGGTGTAGAGGATTCCCATCACTTGCTGACAGAACTGTGTTGGCTGAACTGTATCTTTTAAATAATGTGTAGAACCCATGATCACAGTCCCCTCTCGAATGCTAGGCCAGTTTTGGAATTCAAATGTCACACACTCATGATTTATCACACATGTACTGTGCTTCCACATTTCCCAGTTAATAGTGGCATATTCTTGAGCACCATTTAAAATTACAGCAGGAAGCAACAAGACAAATTTAAGTTCAAAGCTATTATTGCTCAATTAAATTGCCGTCTGAATTTTGGAGTCCCATCCAAGCCAATGCAGATTTTAACTTTTCTTTCTCTCACCAGTTTCAAGTGATTCAGCTCATTAATGATGAAAGTTCATCATAAATCGAGAGCTTGAGAAAACAACTGACATTTCCAGTACACTTGAGCAACAAGTTTACTGTCAACAGATTATTCTTTGGACTAAAATTTACCATTGAACCACTGTGAGATAAGTTTAATTTTTCTATCTAAATATGAAGTACAGTACATGCTTACTTAAATGTATTCAACATCATGTACTTGGTTATTAGGATGTCTCCTAAACTACCCAAGGTGGATGTTCATTCCCTAAATGTTTTTGCTCCAAATCTGTACAGCTGTTCATAACAACAGGAACAAGCAACATTTACCTACGGGTTTCTGGCAATGTGCACTTGTCCTTGGATAGCAGTTGCTTAGCAAATAAATTCTATGGGGAACCCTGACAGAATTTCAATTGGCATTTGAAGCGATACAAAAGAAAATCAACTTGAATGATATTAGTGTTTTTCGTTATGCCACCTTTGCCAAAGTATTGTGCACAACACCAAATACAAAGCAAACTAAAGGCCACCCCCCACCTCGAGTATAAGTCGATTATACTAGCTAATGAAAGCAACATTTAAACTTGTGAACTTCAATCATGTTAACATGCTTTCATCAAGACATACTGCGTGATCAAAGGGTCATCCTTCTCACCCCACACTCACAACAGAACTTTGCCCACTCTACAGGATACTTGGTTCCACAATCATGGCAAAATCTTGAGAGTTGATTTTGATCACTACTCTTGATGCTCCTATCGTTTAAAGTCAAGGAATCGTCTCCAGTGTCAAAACCTGATTTGATATTGTTCCTGGGAAAACAAAATTCACTTTAGTGAATTAGCTATTTTTCAGGTTTTATCAATTATACTCAAAAGAAAGAATCATTTCAAAAGAATCAAAATAAAGGTTAAATCCCTGGCAACTCTCAATCTTGTTCTCTACAATATATCCGACTAAAGTTCTTATGGCCTTAGAATACCACTTCATCTGTGCTTGCAATGCTCCTTTTGTTTATACCCAGCCCACCACATCTGAGCTAAATACACTAATGGCAAGAATAACATTAGTTAAAGTTGCAACAATGATCCCCAGATATATACACACACAACAATATTTTACAAAGATTCTGAACTTTTGTGGGAGGGGGAAAGCATTACTAGCTTTAATCTTAAATCAGATTTAATTAACCTTAAATCAGGCCGACCCTGTTATAATGCAGTGGTTTGGCTCCAAGTATTCAGCCTGATGGGTCGTTCTGGTTTCCTGTACGTATGTGCATACAATGGGGGTCTTATAACGTGCTTAAGTTAAGTGGAGTCCAATAGCTCAGTGGTTAGAGCACTCGTCTTGCAAGCATGAGACCTGGGTTCAATTCCCGGCAAGGTGAAATGTTGGGCAAGTTTCCTTACTCCACATGCCTCTGTTTACCTAGCAGTAAGTAAGAACCCGATTGTTAGTCGATTGGGGGGATTTCTTACCGGGAGTAATAATCCCTCCAAAAAAATAAAGTAATTTGTCACTCAATCCACGACTCTTTGTGGGACACTGCTGTGTGCAATGGTCTGCTGCATTTCACCCACAAAAATATACAGTCAATTCACTTTACAGTATATTCTGTAAAGCGCTTTGAGACGTCTTGAAGACATAAGGCGCTATATCAAATGCAAGGATTATTATTATCAAGTTGTAGTAAATCCAAGCTATCAGTGGACCCAAGCTAAACTAGGGCAATGGGCTCGCCCTGCAACCAGAATAATATCATCAGCCTTTTCTACCACTATAGCAAGGCAGGAATTGACTGATGTGGCCCATCCAACTGTACACAAGTCTGGACACAGAATGCAACTTTCTAAAATATACATATAAATACACTTGCACCTCCCATACACTATACGCTTACCGTGTGTAATTCTCAGCATTGTAGCCCTTCTTCCTGTTCACCAAGGCCGTTGAAGTGATATTTCTGGTTACACTCGGTGGTGTGAGAGTCCGAGCCCTGATACCAGAAGCACCTCTGAAATTAAGGTAAAATAAAATAGAGTAACAAAAATGTCCACAAAAATAGTTCAGATTAAAGTAAAATCTAGGAGCTTGTGTGCTCCAAAGCATATAGTACTAAAATGGGTGGGGGAGTGAAAATCAGCAGATTTACACTTTCAGCTTCCTAAGAAACTTGAAAACCGCTTGAGAAATGGAAAATCTTTCCAATTTTTGCATTAAACATTCCCTCTATGTAGGATATCAAATAAAGTTACCACTTTCTACAAAACACCGTACAATAAGGCACCATTTCAGTTCTTATTGAACAAGGGAATTCAGATACAGCAGTTGGAGATGCCATGTTAATTTCCCCCAGGTAACCAATCACCAGAAGATGTAAAATAGGGTTTAGGAGGAACTTCTTTACACAGAGGGTGGTGATAATGGTAGTATTCACTGTTGGAAGCTGTGGTTGAACCAGAAAGCATCAATGCATTTAAAAAGAATCATGAATGATACACGAAGGGAAGGAAGTAAGGCTGGCCTGGAGTATAAATACTGTCATGGCTGCGTTGGCTGAAATGGCATGTTTTAGTGCCATAGATTCTATCAAGTTCTATGTAAAAGTCACTCTCTCTAATCCATATCTCGCTGGCAGGCCTATAGAAACTGCAGTCCCTGTACTCTATAGATTGCACATTTTCAGCATGTAAACATTGAAACGTAAAAAGTAACCAACCCAATATTACAGTAATAAAACTTCAGGATGGTTAAATTGAAGTCATTGTTAAAAACAATCAAAAATAAAAATCAGCATTTCCGGGCAAATGTGTGACATCTACTCAGATCAGCTGCGTTGGTAGATTTCCTGGAGAAATTTACCCTGGGATAACAAAAAGAATATTACCAGAGGAAGAAGCAGAAGACAACAATATGTAAAGAAGTATATAGCCCCATTAAATATAATATATAAACACACTTCAGTTCTGGAAATACACCTTCATTGTCCATCAGTTGTCCAAGGAGACGAAGACTGTTCACAGTTTTAAGGCTAGTTTTTGCATAGATCTACAGGAATACCCCATCCAAGTATTAGTAATTTTAGATCAATTTCCTTGGAATGGCCCATATCCAATTGATAGTCAGAGGTACTACAATTCATTCTCACCCTGTTGGGTGGTTTATTGCTCCCAACCGCTTTGCTGGTGATCCCTCCCGCAGTTTGTACTCACTGGCTGGAGACGTGTTGCCTTTGGGGGTAGCAAAACCTGCAGAAGATCAAAATAGTCAATGCATCTTTTGTTAAATACAAATCTATTACAAAACACAATTTGCTTAACTATTTTTTAAACAAACGACTATTTACACTGTTTTATTTCTCTATGCCTGTGCTTGAAAGGTCCACGAGACAGATTCACCTTAACGTAATTTTACTTCACCCATGGCACAGATTAAACTTTGCCCATCACATAACTAACTAACTAGCATTAACCTTCAAACAGTGCTACATGGGAGAGGTAGATCTAATTAGCCCATGCTAAACATTCAAGGTTCTACAGATAAGTAAAAATAGAAAATCTCCACTCACCGCTTACAGTTTTCCCACTGACAGAAGGCAGTGGAATCCGTGTCGATGCAGGAGGTGTGGACGATGGTGAGTTTGTCTTTTTAAGCACAGGGGACTTGAACTAGATCAACACAAAATATATAAAAATGACTTTTAACCCTCCCCCAACAACTGACAGACTTTCCATAACTTTAAATTTAATTTTCCCAAAGATAAGGAAACAATAATCTCATCTTGTTCTATCACTGGTGATAATTGTAACAGCATTTGACATTGTGTCTTACCAAGTCAAAATGCCTCAAAATTATTTACTGTAAAATGTTATGATGCGGCAAGTAATCTATGACAGCAATTAGACGAATAACCAATTCATTTTTTTTTGCGGGGGAATTGGTACCCTAAATATTATTTATTGAGTTGTTTTTTTGCTTAATATTTATTTTCTAAAGTTTAATATGTTCTGTGGATCAGAAGAATGTCAATCAGGAGTTGAAAACTGGTTTTACCAATTTCCCAAAAGATTCCTTTCATACATCTATCTCACCATTTAAGCTTACATACTCCAACACGGTGCTGGTTGTGCGTTGTGTTGTTGAGATGAGATGTTTAAACCAAGGTCCCACCTTTGCCTTTGCCAATGAAAAGAGGAGGACATTTCTTCTGCTGTCCTGGCCAACAATCAACCAGATAAAAAATTGATCATTCACTTCATGGCTGTTTGTGGGACAATGCTGTGTGCAAATTGGCTGTAAAGTTAATCACTATACTTTACAGATAAATGAAGCTCTTTATTTCAAAAGGATAAAGTGTTTTTCAAAGGCGAGGAATATTATTTTTACAATGTAGACCTATACTCTTGGCATCCGCAAATCCAACATGTAGAACAGAACTGCTCACCTGCCTACACTGTCACTGTTCTTGACGAAACTAATTCCATGTAATGTGCCCAGCAACATCTATAGTGGCTTGCACCATGAGATGGCGTGGCAGAGCTGGCTGCCTTTTTACATACCCTAATGAATCGTCACATTGCTGACTGTTTTGCACGCTTGGTTATCTCACTTTAGTCTTTGATCTTGATGTTAAACGGAAATATTCTGAATATTGAATTATAGAATCATAGAATTATACAGCAAGAAGGAGGCCATTCAACCCATCGTGTCTGTGCTGGCTCTTTGAAAAGAGCTATCCAATTCAATCCCACTCCCCCGCTCTCTCCCATAGTCCTGCAAACTTACCTTCCCTAAATAGTTATCTACTTCTCTCTTAAAAGCTATTATTGAATTGGCTTCCACCATCTTTTCAGGCAATGCATTCCAGATCCGAACAACTCGCTGTGTGAAAAAAATTCTCCTCACCTCCCCTCTGTTTCTTTTAACAACTATTTGAAATCAATGTCCTTAGGTTACCGACCCACCTGCCAGTGGAAATATTTTCTCCTTGTTCACCCTATTGAAACCTCTCATAATTTTGAAAACTTCTATTGTCTCCTCTTAACATATTTTCAAGGAGAATAATCTTAGCTTCTCTAGCCTCTCCTGATAACTGAAATCCCTCATTCCTGGTACCATCCTTTGCACCCTCTCCAATGCCTTGCCATCCTTCCTAAAGTGTGCTGCCCAGAACTGAACACAGTACTCTAGCTGAGGCCTAACCAATGTTTTATAAAGGTTCATCATAACTTCCTGACTTTTGTATTCTATGCCCCTATTTATAAAGCTTACTTTTCCTTATGCTTTTTTAACAGCTTTATCTACCCGACCGTCACCTTAAAAGATTTACTTATGTAACCCCCAGGGTAACTCTGTTCCTTCATCCCTTTTAAGATTCTACCATCCAGCTTACATTGCGTCTCCTCATTCTTCCTCCCAAAATGCATCACGTCACAGTTCTCCACATGAAAACTTCATCTGCCACATGTCTGCCCACTTTACCAGTCTGTGTATGTCCATTTGCAGTCTGCTACTATCCTCCTCACTGTTTGCTACTTTTCCTAGCTTAGTATCATCTGCAAACTTGGAAATTGTGCTCCCTATATCTAAGGCCAGGTCATTTATATAGATCAAAAACAGCAGTGGTCCCAATACTAACCCCTGGGGGACACCACTGCACACTTCCCTCCAGTCAGTAAAACAACCATTCATCGCCAGTCTCTGCTTTCTGTCTCCCAGCCAGTTTTGTATCCATGCTGCCACTGTCCCTTTAATACCGTGGGCTTCTATTTTGCTTATAAGTCTCTTATGTGGCACCTTATCAAACACCTTTGGAAAATCCATATAAACTACATCAACTGCCCTACCTTCATCCACCCTCTCCATACTTCATCAAAAAACTCTTAACAGGTTTGTTAGACATGATTTGCCTTTAACAAATCTGTGTTGGCTGTCCTTTATTAACCCATGTTTTTCTAAATGAAAATTTATTTTGTCCCGGATTATAGTCTCTAGAAGTTTCTCTAATGTTAGGCTGACTGGCCTGTAGTTCCTGAGTTTATCCTTCTGCCCCTTTTTGTACAGAGGAGTAACATTTTCAAGTAAACACAATAGATGTACAACTTGAATAAATGAGAGATAGCAAAATATTAAAAATCTTGGGAGTACTGCGTACTGTCTGATCCCTGCAACGTAAATGGTCAGCCTGGCTTAGAGATAATGAACAGGAAAGAAATTCCTAGTTTTAGAGCCGTGGTGGCCAACCTGTGATCCGTGGACCATCAAGAAGCGCCCCCCCCCCCCCACCCCGAACATTCGCACAAGTATAGGTAAGTCCGAGCTTCATCAGTAGTGTTTTCTGTTTTTTCTTGATTGAATATTTATTGATTTATGGCATACGTATTTAACCAAGAAAGTTTATCTTCTGTCCGACCATAAACAACAACAACAAGATTCCATTTATAGAGTGCCTTTCACGTCGGGAGGACGTCCCAAGGCGCTGTACAGTTGGGTCAGGACCCGAGCAGGGGGGGAAATGGTCAGGGTGAGGGGAGGGAAGGGAGGGAGCGAGGAGGGGGTAGAAGTCGAGAGGGGAGCTGAAGGCACGGTCAAAGAGAAAGGTCTTGAGACCGGCCTTGAAGGAGGAAAGGGAGGAGACAAGGCGAAGGCACTGGGGGATAGAGTTCCAGAGCCGAGAGGCTGAAGGCCCGGCCACCGATGGTAGGGCGGTTGGGGCGGGGGATGTGGAGCAGACCGGAGCCAGAGGAACGGAGGGTACGGGCAGGTAGGTAGGGGGATAGTAGGTCGGAGAGGTAGGAGGGAGCAAGGCTGTGAATGGCCTTGTAGGTGAGGATGAGGATCTTGAAATCGATCCTCTGGGGGATGGGGAGCCAGTGGAGGCGAGCGAGGGTGGGAGTGATGTGGTCCCGAAGCCTGGTGCGGGACAGTACACGAGCTTGGGTTGGCTGCCAGTGTTTTAGAGGGATGAGCTACGACTATGGCTTGTCAGACTTGTAAAGAGATGTCTGAGAGGGGACCTTATAGGCGTGCCACAGACAGTGAAAGTAATCCCCAAACAACCTGAACAATACTTTCAGAAACATAAAGCAGCAGTTCAAGATGGCACAGATTCAGGGCTCAAAGAGGCAACATTAGGACTGACCAAAGGAAGTATTTCTTTACAGCGAGGGCAACAAGACGCTGAAACAGGTTACCAGGAAGGGTCAGTGAAGTTGGGCATACCTATGTAAGAAATTGCTTGTTATTATAATAGTAATAATAAAATTGTTGAATGGGAAGATGGTAGTGTTTGTTTTCTGGTAGATTGAGATCAAACAATCACCTTCACCCAAATCTCTTGTGACCTGGTGAAGCACAGCAATCTTATAAAGTTATTCTAGTCGCAAACCCAGGACATAAACTCCAGCCGTGACAACATGAGAAATCCCACAGAGTGTATTACAGTCACTGTCAGATTTCAGCCTTGTTAGTCTGAAAGACTGATTAGGTTGTTGCATTGTATCGCATACTGAATAAAAGTCGAGCTGTAAATAACTTTTAACCTTAAAATAGATGTCAGCTAGTGGATATTATTCCCTGGCATAACTGAGGTATGTAGACCTTACTTAAGATATTATTCTAAGCTCTGCGAGAACACCTTTTAGTTAAGGAGGTCACCAGAAAGGAAAAAAGACAACTAATAATAATAAGGTCTTGGAAAGCATAAAGGAGTATATTGTACTGGAATGTTTCATTGAAAATTAGCTCTTGCCAACCTATGCCTCATACTCTGCAGAATTAGGTAAACAGGGTGGATCCATCTGGGTAGAGTGCACATTCCATTCCAAATATGGGAATTTCCATGTGTAGGTGATATCTCAGTCTGGTTTGGATACTCTTTAAGAATGGTGATGGGTTTCTACACGTGCCATCTATTTCCATCGAAAAGATACCCAAGTTGAAACTGATTTGAGTTTCAAAACCTGAAACCAACAATAATAAGTCCTTGCATTTGATATAGCGCCTCATCACGTCTTCGAGACGTCTCAAAGCACTTCACAGAATATACTGTAAAGTGAAGTGACTGTATACTTTGTGGGTGATTTGTGCCAACAAACAGGGCAATCCCATTAAAATACAGTAGTTTGGGTCTATGAATTCAGACCCCCCCATTATAATGAGGTTGCTAAAGTTGGCTGCCAGGCAGCGCTTCCATGTCATTAGATGACCACTGACCATAATAATAATAATAATAATCCTTGCATTTGATATAGCGCTTTTCACGACGGGAGGATATCCCAAAGCGCTTCACAGAACACACTCTAAAGTGAATTGACTATATATTTGTGGGCGAACGCGGCAGCCAATTGCGCACAGCAATGTCCCACAAACAGTCGTAGATTGAAAATGAACAATTTTTATTATTGTTTTTGGTTTTGGAGGGATTATTATTAGGCGTGTGGAGTAAGGAAACTTGCTCAAGGTTTCGCCCTGCCTGGAATAGAACTCAGGTCTCTCGCTTGCAAAGCGAGTGCTCTAACCACTGAGCTACAGGACTCCATATGTTCAATTCACAGAAAGTGAATTAACATGCACATCGCTTCCTGTGCATGTCCTGTGCAATAATGTAAATATATTCAATCTGTCAAAAAAAGCAATTACCTATAGTGCAAATGTTTTTGTTCCAGGGTTCAGCTCAAGACTGAAGGACATGAAGGTGAATGAAATCAATCTCAATTGGCTTGATTCACACTTCCATCACATTAATACCATCCAAACTCTTGGTGAGAAATATTTAACATATTAAAAGTGTAATTCTGACAATTTAATTCAGGGGGAATGTGGTTACAGTACACCCCCTGGTATAGCGCTAATTCTCTTATAGCGCTGGTATGCTCTGCACTCTCACTAACTGGAAACATGGTGCACCTGGTTATGTGTGCTGACTGGCTGAATTCTTGGGCTAAAAATTGTCCAACTTCCAGGTTGCCACTGACTTCACTTCCGGTGTGTTCCACTATGTTCAAGAAGCACTGTTAAGGTCACCTCCTACATGCTTAGCCTGGAAACAATGCCAGGAAGTGACCTTATTGGCACCTTTTGCTTATGCAAGAATTGACATCAGCAGTAACATGACGATCCAGAAGTCAGCTATTGTTTAGCTCTTCGGTTATAATGTGATCATTTAGATATTGGACTTGGAGAGCCAAGTTATCAAAGGGTACCCTGGCATATTTAATATTTTAGCTATCAGCACCTTTTGCCTGCAATGTATATAATAAAATCATTTTAATTCATGTTTCAAATATCCACAAAAATGTCTCCAATAGAATTGCGTTGTTAGTAAAAAAGATAGCTTGTGGCTTCACCTGTGTTTGAGCAGCCGGTTTCCCTTTCACAGCAGCGAGTTTGGGCTTAGTGATACGTGCAGACTGCTCTTTGCAGAAAGAAATGTGTCTGTCTGCTGCACTCTGGCTAAATCTTCTCTGACAATACGGACACTGGATGTAATCTAAAACACAAATTTGAGACAGGCAAAAGATCAGAACAATTTGCCCAATGAAACAGATACAGTGTGCAAGGTCAATTGGCTTGGTCAAACAGATATCAAGCCTGAAAGTGTGTTCCAGAATACTTAATGATATTGTATTTGGAAGATGTGATACCAAAAGAACACAGAGTGATGAGTGGTCTGGGATCAGGACTGTGGATTAAAATAAGACCAAAGAGCCCTCATTACATTTGCAACGCATATGGACATATGTAAAACACTTCTCTGAATGCACTGAATGTAGGACATACTGAAATAAAGCACTTTAATAAAACTTCTAGTAAAATTGTATTGAAAGATCCAATTTACAAACTGAAGCTGTATTTGTACTTTGAATTTTTTTAAAAAAAGGAAACAATTGTATCTGTAGCCTTAAGTATATATCTGAGATTCACGTCATACATTTTGCTTTATTTGAGTTCTCTCACTTTTTCCCCTCTCCCCTTAAAATTATTTTGCTAGTTTTTCCTCTCAATGAGCTTTTAAACAAGCATTTCCACTTGATTTCCTTTCCTACTCTCAGGTCTATATATTTTTAAAGCAATTTACACTTCTCTTTTTCACTCTAAAATTGACAAGAACGCTGTCAGATTTAGAGCATCTTGTCTTCCCTCTCCTCCCTCCCACATATCTTCTCTCTCATGTTCCCAAAGAGCTGCCCACTGTAAAAACTGCCCTACATATGCAATGACCTTTCATGGAGCTCCAAGGTACAGCTGAAATTCACATTGTGCATACATTAGTAATGTGGGCAATGCACATTTGAGCCACATTTTGCACAGTGTGTGTTTTGTATCCTTTCCATATAAAACTGTAATGACCAGAATCTAAAACTTGCTGGTGAGAATAAAATAGACTGCTTGAATAGTGCGTTTCCACTGAAGTACATTGGATTAATTTAGCACATTTACCTTGTCAACACCCAATTCCATACCTGGATTGTATGAGGGGGGAGGTGGCGGTGGGAGGGGTCTTCCTTCCTTCATTACCTGAGTCAGCCCTTTGGCTGCTCTGATGGTGGTAATAAACTCCTCATGCTTCCTTCGCCAGTTTGAAGGCTTTTTGGGAGGTTCAGGCTAAAGATTGTCAAGATCAAAATATAGTAACTAATTTACCCAACATGGAAAAAAGAAGTAAATGATCATTCACAAAAACAAAGGACATCCGAGTAAAGCAGGTTGATGACGATATATTTTATATGATTATATTCCTAGAATAGAGGTTTATTTCTATTTACCGTAGAATAACTAATGCATAGAAACAGAGAGGGGAAAGAGAAATAAAAACACAAGATGCCTTAAAAGATTGCTGCGTTCCTTAAGTGGCTCTTCTATGTGTAAATGAAAACATGTGATCATTCTTTGCAGCATCTCCACAGATCCTTCAAATTTTCCACAGGTCCTTCAAAATACCTTCAATTTTTTAAAAAAACAACAATAATTTGGTCACTCAATCCACAACTGTTTGTAGGCCACTGCTGTGCGCAGTTAGCTGCCGTGTTTCGCACACAACATATACAGTCATTTGCATTACAGTATTTTCTGTGAAGCGTTTTGAGACGTCTCAACAATGTGATAAGGCCCTGCATCAAATGCAAGGATTATCATTATAATTATTATTATAAAGGTGCTGGTTGCACCAAGTGTCTATTATTCATAGTCCTTAACTGTGAGCACCTGCAAGTCACTCAACCATAGACGGGATCATAGCCAGACATGACCTCTCCTCGCTCACACACACACACACATAGACACTCAAATAGTGGAGGATGCTTACAGAGAGACCAAGAATAGAAAACCCGGCTGGGAAGACCAGGGCTAATTTAGCTTTCTCATGTAGCCCCAGCTAAGACCAGCAAACTCACCACTGACCAGAATTCCTAGTCCAGTGAGCAACAGGTCCTTAAGCTGGAAGCACTATAATGTCGACCACTAGACTGTTCCAGATGAAGGAATCTCTACCTCTACACTGCTTTCCATTCCCTGTCAAAGTGATTAGCTGTGGTTATTCCTCTGCAGTTTCCCTGCAGTTTGCTTGAGTTTTAGCATGAAATCAAAATGTTGTCGCAAGAGCAAAGTAGACCAACACAGAAAATGCAGAACTGCTGACAAATGCATTGTACTTTGTTCTGAGAAACAATTCCAGCCATGTGCGTCAATGCAGAAGAGGATCAAGAATTTGCTTGGTTCTCAACATGTTAGGGCACATGCTTGTGAAACGAAAACCAGCAATAACCTTCAAGTTACTAAACTACATTCCCACCTGGAAAATCATCCCTTTTCTAAAAAAAATACAAATTAAAGCCTCACTTCCTGTTAGTGCTTCTTAAAAAAAGTTTTTATTTACATACCCTGGGCTTCAAAGGTTTTAAGGTAGAAATATCGGTGCCTTCAGCTCGCTGCCTGCTCGAATCAAAGGCCCTCCTCCTTTTGGCAGTATTTTTTTGACAGATGGGTTCATGCTTTAGCTGCAGACAAAAAACACAGCTGTGCCGTCAACACACAAAATTCCAGGAACTTTACCGTTCTGCCAAGATCCACAAAACTGCAATCTTAGATTTTCACGTTTACAAGAGAAAGAAAAAGGACAAAAACGGTTTAAATAAAGTTGTAGAACTGCTAATTTATGACGTAATGAAGAGCTTCCATCAGGCTACGTTCATTGACAAAGCCTACTCTGTACTTGGACTACAAGGGTCACTTATGAGGCAACCTGAGGAATAAGAATTATTTCGACGAGCCCTCCATACAGATGAAAATGTTGTAATCCATCGAAAAGACGATTACGGTGCAAAACAAAGAGTCGCCGTTAAATTCACGGGAATACATTTCTATTTTTCTTGGAACAAATATTTATGCAAGCCAATGATCTCACTCGTCTCTTATCAAAAGAATTCTTTTGTTGCAATTCCCAACCATGCGCCAATTTAATGAAAATCCGAACATCCGATAGACAACTGTAGAAATTTCAATAAAAATCAGCAGGAATGAGATACGCATAATAAAATGCAGTATACATCTTTTTACCCTTCATGACAGTTTCAGATTAGAGAAATGTAAAGGGGAAACAAAGACAAGGAAAAGTATACTTTCCTAGTGTTCCCCAGTTACTCATAACAAGGGCTTCAAAAATTTTGATATTCTTAGAACTAATCTGTATATAAAGCTAAAACAGACAGGAACAGGATCAGGGGCTGCCATTTTAACTGCAGATGTCAGCTACAGGCAGTGAGCAACAGAAACCCTTGCTCCAATGGCCAGGGGAGTTAGTTCATGTTGTATGATCAGCTGCTTTGATGCTCGTCGAAACATCAGCAAATACGTGGCGTGTTTCTTTTCTCCAAATGCTACAAAAAGCTGATTGTGAAACTTTAGTGATTCCCTTCTGGAAAGTGTTCACGTGGACCCCAGGTGAGGACAAGATCAGGCTCAGTAGGATATCCCCACAGTTACGCATTCTGTGGCTCTCACTGCCTGGGCTCACGTGACGAAACTACTTACAAGTAGTACCGGAGACCAACTGGTGCCCATGGAAGTGAGGAGATGAGAGTAAGTTTAAACAAACACATGGAAAGTCACAACTTTTAATCCAGATTCAATATATGTCTTCCTGTATTGTGCTGTGAAGCTGAGTAATGCAGGTCTTTGCACTGGAACAATGTCATAACCAGATTCTGCGTTCCAATTTGGATGAGGGTATTGGAAACTGAAACGTTATAATTGTTCCCATACCAAATATGTCTTAGGAGACCTGATGTGCATGCAAAATAAAAATGGGGAAGAAGGAAAGGCAGGCAAAACAGGTCATGTCCTAAAGCAAGCATAATGAAAAAAATTAGACAAACGTTGCTCTGACTATGCTACATTGCTTCCAAATCCATATCAGTATCACATCAATTGCAGATACACATTTGCTTGAAGGCAGAATCCATTCATTTTGCACCATTTCCAGAGCTTGTACTGACATTGCAAGTTAACCTGCAGTACATGGTTGCCCTCTGATTGTCAGCGTATATGGAACATGATAGAAAGTACAACTGGAGAATAATTCTTCTTTCATTGAATTCATTGATTAAGCTAACAGGAAGATTCTGTGCAGAATCCTAAAGGATACAATATTTCTACACAACTAAACACCGTAGCTAATTCCAGTTTCACAAATTAATAGTATAATCTACAATCATTACAAAAAATTAGACAATTAGAGGTTATTGTGTAAAGTCAAATTTTCAAACCTTCACTTCTAAAAGGTTGACATCATAGGTTCTAGTTCAGTTTGATTTGCCGGGCCCTATTATACATAGTGGTTCTGATTACTATCTAATAATCCCAAGAGACAGTTCATATAACTCAATGCGACCCGACAAATACAAATTGGGGAATGGTACAGTTAGTTTGATATCATATACTCACCCGTGTCGCTGCTATAAAAGTCCTTCCACAAATTCTGCAAGGTACCAGATCATTTTGAAGTGGAGTGCCATCGGAAACTGTAAACAGAATGTCAGCATTTAATGCATGGTCACTTATAAAGGTGTACTGTTGTGCAAAGCTGCACTATGAGAAACAGTCAAGGATTGTTTCCTAAATGAAGACTCTAGACTGATTTCAGTGCCGTCATGACTTCAAACAAAGACCCAGTGAACCACTGGCCTGAATGTTTACAATGCTGCAACAACAATAAATACTTGCATTTATATAGCACCTCTCTTGCAGGGTAGGGTCCCAGTGTGCTTAATGCTAATTAGGTTTATTGAGGGGCAATGCAGAGATTGCTACATTCCCTGCTCAAAATCTGCATTTGTGGTAAATTACACCTCCTGTACTCAAGATATTCTCTTATACCAAATTCTGAATTTGTTAAGATTTTTTTTCCCATTTCACGACTCAGGAATATTTTGATTGTTGGGACATATTTCTCTCTGAGCTTAAAGGCACATGACTGACAAGCTCTTCACACGCAACCCCCGGTGGGCTGCACAAGTCCCTCTTTCTGCTCTCGATCTGCCCATTAATGTCAATGATCTCCCTGCGGTGTGGCTCCAAATCCCTGTTTTTAAGAACACTTGATTCTTTCTGAAGACGAATATTTGTAGTCTTGTTACTGAATTAATGAAATATCACGTGAATAGTTACAACAGATCCATGTGGTCTTGGTTTATGCTGTCGAGAAGCTATTTTGCCCAAATCTCATGACCTTTCAAAATGATCAGGTGTCCAAACAGTATACAACAACAACAAGATTCCATTTATAGAGCGCCTTTCACGTCGGGAGGACGTCCCATGTCGGGAGGATGTATACAGTTAGAACTGCAAAAAACAACTACAGTGTCCTCATAAAATACACATTCGATACACAATAAAATCCTATGAAACTAACTCAGCGTGATTCCTTTGAGGGATACAAGGACAGGTGGGGGGGGTGGATAGAGAAGAGAGTAAGAGGAAGGAAAACATCTGCAAAACTTATTAAGGCCATCTGAGGATGTTTACTGTAAAGGCATTAACAGGCAAATAGATGAAAGAGAAAGTGATTAACGCCATTCAGATCAAACTGATTTACATAATTAAGTCAGAGAGAAAATTATGCCCTCAGGCACTTATAAAGTCACCATTTGGTAGAGTTTACGGATAAAGGAAAAGGGGGGCAATTAGGGATACAAGATCTGACTCAATGGCTGACTTACGAAGATGTTATTCTCTTCTAAGCTGATTAGGTGGAACGCTGTATAAAATAATTAACCACTGGCACAATGAGTCTGCAATGACCCCACTGGTTCATGGCCTCTCTGACTCCAGGCTCTAGAGGCACCAGAGACTGCTAACCGAGATCCAGGTTATAAAATATTGTAATTGATGAAAAAGATTAAGATAACACAGTCGTAGTTATAAATAAAATAGAACAAAACAAAGCACGCAAAATGTACAGTATAAATGCTGAGGATGTTATATGATTTGCTGTATATACTGGATCAACTAACCATGAATACTGCCCAGCAAATCAGTTCAGGGTGGGGTTATAGAGGCATTGCTGCAATGATTATTTGACACTCATTGCTGATCACTCTTCTGGATGCAACGTGTAAATGTCTTTCCCAGGGCAGATGAGATCAGGAACAGTCGGAATTTGAACATTAAGGGCGAGGCTTTTATCCCAAAACGATGCTGCACGACTGGAGGGGACCCAAGGCTGGGAAGCCAAGAGTCTCCCCATCTCAGGCTCACTGTGTGTCTGTCTGTGTGTCAGAGACCCAGAGCTCTCTTGTCTCTCACTCTCCACAAACAGGCAAAGAAAGGTTCAGGCGAAGCAGTCACTGACTGACTCGCCCTTTCTCTGGCTCTGTGAAGGAGAAATTGACTGATTCTCTCTTCCTGTGTCCCTCCCTCCCTCCCTCCCTCTCTCTCTCCCTCCCTCTCTCTCTGCCTATCTCAGTCTCTGTCTCTCCCTATGTGTTTCTCTCCCCCCCCTCTCTCTCCCTCCCTCTCTCTCTGCCTATCTCAGTCTCTGTCTCTCCCTATGTGATTCTCTCCCTCCGTCTTTTTCTCTTACTCTCAAGTTTTTCTCTACATCCCTCTCCCCTTTTCTCTCTCTGTGTCTCTCCCTCTCTCTCTGTATCTCCATCTCTCTCCCTGTGTCTTTCCCTCCCTCTGTCCGTACCTCAGTCCCTTTCCCTGCGTCCCAACCTCTCTCCCTCTGTATCTCTCCCTCACTGTGTTTCTCCTTTTCTTTCTCGTCATATCTCAGCCTCTCTCTCTATATGTCTCCCTTTCTCTCTCTCTCTCTCTCTCTCTCAGTCTCTCTCCATATGTCTCCCTTTCTCTCTCTCTCAGTCTCTCTCTCTATATGTCTCCCTTTCTCAATCTCCCTCAGTCTCTCTCTCTATATGTCTCCCTTTCTCTCTCTCTCTCTCTGTCTATCTCTCTCTATATGTCTCCCTTTCTCTCTCTCCCTCAGTCTCTCTCTATATATGTCTCCCTTTCTCTCTCTCTCTCTCTCTGTCTCTCTCTCTCCATATGTCTCCCTTTCTCTCTCTCTCTCAGTCTCTCTCTCTATATGTCTCCCTTTCTCTCTCTCCCTCAGTCTCTCTCTATATATGTCTCCCTTTCTCTCTCTCCCTCAGTCTCTCTCTCTATATGTCTCCCTTTCTCTCTCTCCCTCAGTCTCTCTCTCTATATGTCCCCCTTTCTCTCTCTCCCTCAGTCTCTCTCTATATATGTCTCCCTTTCTCTCTCTCTCTCTCTCTCTCTCTCTCAGTCTCTCTCTCTCCATATGTCTCCCTTTCTCTCTCTCTCTCAGTCTCTCTCTCTATATGTCTCCCTTTCTCTCTCTCCCTCAGTCTCTCTCTATATATGTCTCCCTTTCTCTCTCTCCCTCAGTCTCTCTCTCTATATGTCTCCCTTTCTCTCTCTCGCTCAGTCTCTCTCTCTCTATGTTTCCCTTTCTCTCTCTCTCTCTCCCTCAGTCTCTCTCTCTATATGTCCCCCTTTCTCTCTCTCCCTCAGTCTCTCTCTCTATATGTCCCCCTTTCTCTCTCTCCCTCAGTCTCTCTCTCTCCCTCTCAGTGTACCTGTGCCCCTCAGCACACTGGAGAGCTGGTGAGCAGACGGATAGCACTGACACCCACAGAGCGCCGCACTCTTACCCCACACATCGTCCATCTTCCTCTCGTTAGCAACGCGGTCCTGCGTCCAACACAAAGCAGCGCCAAAGCAGCGACGATTGGCTCCAGACTCTGGGCCGAACCTGCAGAGGCGCAGCGCCGCCGCCAGGGGGCGAAACGCCCCTCCCTGACTCCCCCCATCTAAACCTGGAGCAAATCTTTTGTTTGGGGGGGATTTTGTTTTCTCAGTTTTAAATATTATTTATTTCGTTTTTGATGGATTGATTGATTGATTGATTTCTTTATTGATTGATTGATTGATTTATTTTTTGACTACGCTTCCAAGCAACTTTCGACTGATTTGAAAAGTGACTCTGCTTATTCGCGTGTCGGCCCGGGTCACGCGGCCAGTAGCCACCCCCCCCCCCCCCCCGCCGCCTCCGAGTCGGACGGTTGTGGGTTTGACGTCCAGGGTTTTGAGCTCGCAGTCGAGGCGGAGGCTCCGGTGCGTTGCTGGGGGAGAGCCACGTTGTCAGTTGGTGTCGCCCTTCGTAGGAGACGTTAAACCGACGTCCCCTCTTGACTGTTCAGGTCAATGTGAAAGAGCTCATTCGAAAAGAGAAGGGAGTTTCACTCCCCCCGTGTCCCTGGCCAACAATCCCCCAGATAAAATTGGTCGTTCACTTCATGGGACATCGCTGCGCACAATTTGGCAGTCACTGCACTTTACAGTAACCCTGTGAAGCACTTTGCTACGCTCTCCCGATGTGAAAGGCACTATATCAAAAGTACGGATTTTATTATTCTTCTTCAAAAGTATTTTTTGTAACATTCTTTGCTAAGTACTCAGCTGGATGATAGCTGGAATATGTGTCAAACCAGATAAAATCGGTCATTTACTTCATGATTGTTTTTGGGGACATTGCTGTGTGCATAAACCAGTAGGAACCTGGTTGTTAGTCACTTGGCAGATCGCTTTCCGAGGGTAATAATCCCTCCCCCCAAAAATAATAATAATAATTTGGTCACTCAATCCACAACTGGTTGTGGGACACTGCAGTGTGCAATTAGTTGCCACGTTTCACCCACAAATATACAATCACCACACTTTAAGTATAATCTGTGAAGCGCTTTGAGATGTCTCGAAGAGGTGATAAGGCACTATATCAAAAGCAAGGATTGTTGTTATCATTACTTCAGTAATTCCAGTGACCCCCTTTGAGCCATCTCGATGACAAATGCAAAGATGATTATTTTCCTTCATTGCCTCATGCTAATGTCTTTAGCTAAACCTGGCCTTGTGGTAACATGAGAATTTTCTTTTGGTCAGCAGGATGTCCGACACACACAGAAACCCAGAAGAGAAAGTGGCACATGATTCCTGGACTTCTATAGCAACCAGGAGTGTGCCTCATCAAGCAATAATGTTGTTGGATTGGAAGAATCCTGGCTAACTCAGTTGGTTTAATCCAAGTGTGGGATCAGACCTTCCTGCTCACTCTTCCCTTTCTGAGGCTGATAAATGAATGGAAAAAAATGGCCTCCATGGAACAGAGAAAACTGGAATCTCCCTGGGGCTGAACTGATTCCAAAGAAACATATTTGGTAAGCCTAATAATCTGAAGCATTGTTTACTGCAATGGCACATCAACAAGACCTGGATATGTTGAAATAAATAATAATAACAATAATAATCCTTACATCTGATCTAGCTCCATTCTCAGTAGGAGGCCGGCACAAAGCATGTCACAAGGATATACTGTAATATACATATTAGCTTCTTCTCCATATTACAGGAATCCTACAATGTGTAAATTCAATGTTCTGCTTATTAGGCCTGATTTTTAAAAACATTTCAGGTTGAAATAGAAATAGGATTCCTCTCTACTGCTCAGCACGAACTGTAGATTATGGGAAATAAATCATTGACGAACACAGTGCCATATAACAGGAGCACAAATAGCAGGCTGTATCTCCAGTATCTTTCGCTGATACTGTATCTCTGTCTACATTTAGTACATGCCATCGCTTTTGTTGTATGATAGTTGTTTACCACCTGAATTTTGGTTCCTATGTTTGCACAAAATAGCAATATTTTGAATTTATGGCAGGTATACTGGAACTTTTCATTGCTAACTAACAGGCACTGTTCGTTCTGTTGTAAAATTCCACACAAATCTACTTTGCCTCCTCCAGTATCAACTTCAGGTCCGCTGATGTTCTATCAGCTTGTCTGGTAGACATCAGGGCCTGGATGAGTGCAAACTTCCTGCAGCTGAATGCGGACAAGACAGAAGCCAAACTCTTTGGTTCCCGTCAATGTCTTCACTTCTGCGGATCTGAACTCCTCAACCTCCCTGGGCTCTGCCTCAGACTCACTGAACCAGTGCACAATCTAGGCATCCGGTTCGACCCCCAGCTGTGCTTCCTCCCCCACATCCGGCCCCTGACCAGGACCGACTTCTTCCCCCTATTCCACATTGCCCGCCTCCCACTGTACCTTACCCCAAATGCAGCCAAAACCCTTGTGATTGCGTTTGTCACCTCCCGCCTGGATTACTCCCAACACACTCCCGCCAGTCTCCCCAGCTGCACTATTCAAAAGATCCAGCTCATTCAGAACTCTGCTGCCCACATATTGGCCCGGACCAAACTCCGCACCCACATCTCACCAGTTCTGCCCAGGCTCCACTGGCTCCCCATCACCGACCAGATCGACTTCAAGATCCTCACACTCGTGTTCAAATCCCATTACTTTCTTGCACCTCCCTACCTCTCTGACCTCCTCACTCCCAATCCACCACCTGGCGCCTCCACTCGACTGGCACTAGCTTCCTGCTCGTCCCTCGCACTCTCCGCCCCACCATCGGAGGTCGTACTTTCAGCCACTACACCCCGAAACTCCTGAACACTTTCTCTCAATCCCTCCACCTTGCCCCCTCTCTTCCCTTTTTCAAGTCCCGTCTGAAAACTTTCCTCTTGAACTGTGCTTACGGTCACCTCCCCTCCCGCCCCGGCTCGGAGTCAGACTCCGCCACTGTTAAGCGCTCTGAGACGCTACCCTGCGTGGACGGAGCTATATAAGTGCAAGTTGTTGTTGGTTTATCTTTAGAATCCTAAGACCTGAAATTCCCTCTAATGGAAATAAACTGCAAGATCACTTTGTAAAAATGTAAGACCATACAGAACTGTTCATCGACTCATTCGTAACTTGGAAGCTGTTTTTCTGCAGTTATTAACAAACATAACTACCAGTTTCCAAATTAAGCCTGATTAAGAATTTTTGAACATTTGTGTGCGATCTTAAGTTTTAAGGCTTAGACCAGGTGAAATTTCTGGCCTTGTAGGGTAGTTTGGCCCAGGAAAGAAATAGCTGTGAATGTTGAGAATGCAGAACTGTAGTTCTGTGAAGTTGTTGGCTGTCTGCTTATCTATGCACTGATAACCACATTGTCTCAATTCGTAACACAACTTTAGAAAGAACACATTTTCATTTTCTGCTGCCAGTTAATTAGAATAAAGTTTCATCTATACTTATAAATAATAAGCCTTGCATTTGATATAGTGCCTTATCACGTCATCTAGACATCTAAAAGTGCTTCACAGGATATAATGTAAAGTTTCACTTTGCATTTTGTGGGCAAAATGTGGCAACCAATTGTGCACAGCAATGTCCCACAAATGGAGTGAGTGACCAATTTTATTTGGGGGATTGTTGGCCAGGACTCCCTTCTCTCTCTCACTCCCCTTCTCACACATTTTCTCTTCCCTCTCACACTCCACCTCCCCCCTCTCAATCACTCTCTCACCCCTCTTCTTCTCTCCTCCCCCTTTCTCTCTCTCACACCCCCTCCCAAACTCTCTCTCAATCATCCTCTCTCAATCTCCCCATTCTCTGTTTCTTTTTCTCCCCCTCACATTCAGTCCCTCCCATCTCACACACTCCCCACCCTCTTATACTCTCTCCCCCTCTCACACACTCTCTCAAACTCTCTGCTCTCCCTCTTTCAATACTCTCTCACAGTCTCTCTCTCTTACTCATCCTTTCTTACCTCTCACACACATACACTCTCTCCTCTCCCCCCCCCACCTCCTCTCCCTCTCCCCCCCACCTCCTCTCCCTCTCCCCCCCCACCTCCTCTCTCTCCCCTCATCTCTCTCCCTCTTCTCTCCCCCTTCCTTCCCCACTTCTCTCTCCAATCTCTCTATCTCTCTCTATCTCTCTCTCTCTCCCCCCACCCCCCCATCACCCCACCTCTCTCTCTCTCTCCCCTGCCTCTCTCCCCTTCCGTTCCCAATCCTTTATCTCTCTCCCCCTCCCCGTCTCAATCCCTCTCTCTCCCAATCTCTTCCCCAAGCGTGGGACACTATCTGCAGTAGCAGGAGCCGGGAATTGGTTGCTAAGGCTGCGGTTGGTAAGAGACGCACTTGGCTTCCTAACAGACTGCAGTAAAGGCTCTGTGTCCTTCGTCCTCCCAACTGCCAGCTCCTGCCACTGCCCTGGGAGGACGCTCACCAGGGAGGGAGGGAGTGGAAGTTGGAATGGTGGAAATGGTCACGGGCTGTGTAAAATCACCTGCTGTAAGACAACAACAACAACAACAACAAGATTCCATTTATAGAGCGCCTTTCACGTCGGGAGGACGTCCCAAGGCGCTGTACAGTTGGGTCAGGACCCGAGCAGGGGGGAAATGGTCAGGGTGAGGGGAGGGAAGGGAGGGAGCGAGGAGGGGGGAAATGGTCAGGGTGAGGGGAGGGAAGGGAGGGAGCGAGGAGGGGGTAGAGAGTCGAGAGGGGAGCTGAAGGCACGGTCAAAGAGAAAGGTCTTGAGACCGGCCTTGAAGGAGGAAAGGGAGGAAGCAAGGCGAAGGCACTGGGGGATAGAGTTCCAGAGCCTAGGGGCTGAGAGGCTGAAGGCCCGACCACCGATGGTAGGGCGGTTGGGGCGGGGGATGTGGAGCAGACCGGAGCCAGAGGAACGGAGGGTACGGGCAGGTAGGTAGGGGGATAGTAGGTCGGAGAGGTAGGAGGGAGCAAGGCCGTGAATGGCCTTGTAGGTGAGGATGAGGATCTTGAATTCGATCCTCTGGGGGATGGGGAGCCAGTGGAGGCGAGCGAGGG